TTGCTATTGGTAAAGAGAATAAATACACTTAATTCACATACATTGTTATGTGTGCCCTAGTTGTTGCTAGTGGGGCTATGATACTGTAATAATATTTTTAAAAATTTACATCCAGAGAGGCAGTCATTCATGATGGTTTTGTGCCAGATCTCTTTAGGGTTTTGGATCACATTAGAGATATTTAGAACTTACTACCCTGTGACTTATGTAGGAAACCTAATATGCTGAGTATCTGGCACTTGAAATCCTGCTTTTATTGCTGGAGGTCACATCTGTGGTTGACCTCTGTTGTTGTTTTAAAAAATAAATAAAAATTAAAAAATCTGTGCAATAATTTCTAAATGTGCTCCCAGGAATAGACACAGTTTTGAGTATGTTAAGCTGCATTTTCTTTGAGCGATGCATTTGTCAATTGCACTGAATTTAAATCTGAAAGTCAGAGGTGATTATTGATAGTACTTTTGTATTTTGATATGGACAGTTTATTCATTTGCATCATACAGTTATTGACTTTTTCCCAGCTGGTTAAAAGATAGTCAAGAAGTTCTGCAATATGCTGCCAAAGTAGACAGCTATGTTTTTATGATATTGTATATTTCCTGTTTTTCTAAAAATTCATTAGCTATTTTACATAAGAATAATAGTCACAATAAGACATATAAAAGATTATAAATACAGAGCTTTATTATCCTGAAGTCTTGGGTCTTTTAAGTCTGAGCTTTTCTGAATGGTGTCCTTTTTGCAGGCTTGGGTTCTTCATGAGCACACGGTTGTTTGTTTTTGCTGCTGTTCTTAACATCATCATTTCCCACTGATGTGCCACGAGGCTGCTCCAGTAGACAAAATAAGATTGTCTCTCATTTGAGCAGTGACATGATTGCAAGAGACCAAGGTTCACAACTGGTAAAGCTCTGTATTTGGGGTTCTTGCTTATTTTTCCTCCTGAAGATCAACTGAAGCCAGTAGTTTTTCTATGGTGTTCATTATATAGCGCTGTATAAGCTACTGTAAGAAACTTATCATAAGGAAAAATAGAAAGGAAAACTTGAATGAATACTCACTGATTAAAATATAATAAAGAACAGCTGCCACTCTTAAACAACATGAAGGAAGATC